AAAAAAGGCAATAGAAGTAAATCATTGTAGGCCAAATTAACTGGTCCAAATATAATTAAAGGAGTTTTAGAAGAATGATGATTGTTAAGGGTAGTTTTCTCATCGTAAGAATCTATATGGCCTTGATTATATAGAAAATCAGGAAGTTTGATTGTTTTCCTTGAATTTATAAAGGCGTCTTCCAGAGTGCGGGTTATGTGTCCAAGCTGAGTATGACTATGTGCGGCAAGAGAAATACTCAAAAAAGGTCATAAATGAACTCAAAATTTTTTTATATAAAAAAGTAATTAATTTAAAGATCAAGCTTTTCGAAGGTCATGTTCATGCTGATTTCTTTTAAATCTATAGACTTTCAAATCTGCCTCTTGAAGTACCGCATCTTACTATGATTTTTTTCCGCGAAAGCTTTATTTAGAAAGAATAGATTTAAAACATTGCGGCTCACGAAGAGAGGAGTGTAATCAGATATGAGGCGGAAACATAAAAAGGTGGGAAGTTCAAGTGGCGACCCGATCGTTTGAATAACTTAGGTCTACAGGGATGCAGGAGAGGTGTTTATTAGCATGAAAAAAGAGACCATAGGGTTCTAGAACCGGATACGTTTGAGGGGACGAGGAAGAGATGAGGCAGAGACAATGTTCTGTGTGAGGGAATGCGAATGGTCAGTCATTATGAAGGGGAGGACAGTGAGCGGCAGGCGACCTTGTCAATTCTTTCGCCAGAGTTGAAAATCCTTCTTATCCGTAGAATAATTCCAAAAAAATTGCTGAGGGTCAAGGACGGGATTTGTAAGGATTTTGAGCAAGATTTGTTGGTTAATATCAAAATATTAGTGGTTAAATATAAGTGTAAACTCTTAGGAAGAATGCTTTGATGGTAATGAAGTGGGAAGAAAAAATGAAAGTTCGCCTTGAAAGATGTTCGAGTCCGAGTGGAAGGAAGTCGTTAAAATACCATACGGACCGTGCATAATTGTACGGACGGGGATTGATTACGCTATTCGAGGAGAGTTACGTCTACAGTCGAAAAGAGCGAAGGGGGAGGACCTGTCCTCACTTCTCATCGACTACCGAAGAGAATTAGCTACCCAGCAATTAGAGCCCCGAGTCCGAATACCAGCAGCAGCTAGCGCACCGACACCATCGAAACATTGAAATACTTAGATGACATTTAGGGATTGTCTGCCTTCAGCCTTAGATCTGGCTTTCCTTTGAAAGGTGGACCTGGGTTGAATAGTGCAAAAAGCGGATGAAACAGAAATTTTTGGTTACGAAGGAGAAAAGAAGAGTTTGTGAGGGTAGATGGAATCACCAACTTTGCCATTCGATGGCAGT